CACCCCCATTCAGTCTGGCTCCAGAACCCCTGCTCTGGCCCTCTGGCTGCCAATCTTGTCCCAAACCTGGTGTCCCCAGGCTCGGGAGTGAGTTCTCCACCTCTCAGGGCCTCCTACTTAACCCACTGGGCATATGGGGAAACTGAGGATCAAAGGGGCGAAGTCGCCCACCTAGATCCCAATGGGGTGGCTGGCTGTGTCTGGGTCTGAATTCTGTGCGGTGGCCGCTGAGGGCCTGACCACTGAGTTCTGTGCTCCTGTACAGGTGCCAGCGGGATGGGCCGGTACCACGGCAAGTTCTCCTTTGACACCTTCTCCCACCACCGCGCCTGCCTGCTGCGCTGCGCTGGGATGGAGAAGGTCAACGACCTGCGCTACCCGCCCTACTCACCGCGCAATCTAAGGTTGCTGCTGCTAGCCATGAAGCCCCGCAGCTGCAGCTGCACGCTGCTCTGAGCCCTTGCAGCATCCCGTCCAGGCTCACGTCTGAGCTGCCCAACATCGCTGACACCTGCTGCTGGCAGAAGACACATGGCCTCTGGTCCACAGCACTATGAGAACCGCCAAGGCCATAGGGCAGCTTCTCAGCCCAGACCAGCCCTCACTCTCCTTTCTGAGGTTTCTGTTTTCTGGCCCTCTGCCTCCACCCTCAGTCCGACCAAGGAGAATGAGCAGAGGGAGCACAGGAAACAGTGCAGTGTTCTGTCCCCCATTGGCAATGAGAGCTGCCATGTCCTGGACAAGACGGCAGACATGGGCACCTTGGAGCCATGCACCTTCCTGTGGTGCATCTAGACCAGGCCATACAGTAGAACCACTGTGATCCGGGCGTCCCCGTACTCTCTGAACCTCAGTTTCCCCATGTGTACAGTGGAGCTGATGGAGAACTGAACTTTCCGGGACTGTTACAAAGATAAAATGACTGAGTTGCTATCCCTGTGCTCCAGGTATCCTGTCTTTTCTCCTGTGGGTAAGCCTGCCTCCCTCTTCTCTCCCAGCAGGTCAGGCTAATTTTGCGTTAGCATCTCCCTTCCCTTCAGTCTGGCCTCTCAAGAGCTCTGAACACCCTGCCCTCACCGTGTCCCACATGGTGTCCCACGGTGACTCCTCTATCCCACTCATCCTCCTGTGACCTCCGCCCACTTAGCTGCCAGAGCTACAAACTAGGCCTCCTGCTCGGGGCCCAGTCTCCCCTCCTAAGTCCCATTGTTGTGCAAGTTCTTCTGACTGTGTAATGCTTACTGCAGGCCAATATCCCAGGGCCCCTCTTGTCAGTGCACCCACTGAACTTCCCAAAGCTGGCTTGGACCATGCTAGTCCCAGGCCTGAAGTCATAGGATGGCTTCTTGTGGCCTAAGGTTCTACATTCCTAACATTCCTTAGGAGGGTCGCCAAGCCACCGCCTCCTCTGTCCCACACTTAGTCTGTCCTGGTCCTCTTGAAACGCTCCTTGTCCAAAGGGCCTCTGTACACGGGGGGCATACCCTCCCCGCCCTTACAGACATGCCCAGCTCGTAGTCACCAATGGCTTAGGCACCACCTCCTCTAGGAAGCCTCCCCTGCCTGACACTCAGACCACGTTCGCTGACTGCGTCAGCGCCAGCAGCCTCTGCGGGTCTCTACCACAGGGTTCATAGAAGAAGAAACACAAGCGGGTGGAGAGCTGGGGGCTCCCGGACCACAGATCCAGATGCGGATCACGCAGCCGCCCTCTGCAGTTCCGCGGCTTGGGGAACAATCACTACACAAGTCCATGCTTCGGTTTCCTCATCGTGACGTGACATTGGTTCCTCCACACAGGTGTACTGTGAGGATTAAATGAAGCCGCACGGATTAACTGGAGAGTCTGCACGTGGAGTCACAGGCGGCCGAGATTCTCCCGGGCGCCGCTGTCCTTTCTGTCC